TCCCCTGCGATATAAAATGGATTCTTATAATCTCTCTCAAGCTTCATTTCCAAAGTCAAACCTTAAAAATACACAATGTTCCTTCAAGATACAGCTATTTTTCCAAAAAGTAACATTCCTTCATTCTACTAATATTTAGAATTTATTTTTAATTATAGACACTTGAACCTTACCTCTTTGCTATCCTGTATCATCTTCTTGACCCTTCTACCTCCAAACCATAAATTGTACAGAATTATCTGATTCATAACACTTAAAAAGAGATTTCTACCTATTCTATATCTCCCTCTTCTGACTGATCATAATATTTAAAGGAACCAGTACTAAGAATATTTTGTATCTTTTTATATTATAGAAAACTTTTTTCTCCCCATTAAGACCCTATGTGGGAAACAATACAAACTTTACAAAAAACTCTAGCCAGAGGTAATCAATGCAGAACAAGAGTAATACTTTGAAATTCAATGGTCAGTAAAAAAGAAAATTATAGTCTGGTTAATGATTCAGAATAAAAAAAAATTATACTGTAATAGGAAATAATTAACATAGAAATTAGAAAATTAGTTAACATAGTAGAGTTTAAAATTTAATGTCTTTTACAGGTCTTGGTATTTATTATCAGGAAAAATAATTGATAGCACATGGCTTTGGTTAGTCTTTTTCAATACACCCGTATTTTAAAGGATACTTAATACCAGGATAATGTGTGACTCGGCCACGAATTGAGCCTGGCTGCTTCCATGAATGTAGCTCTAGAAAACAAGACAAAGAAGCAAAAATTACCATCTGGGGAATAGCTGATTTTCTGGTAGTTCTTTTTGTAATTTGCAGTTTTATGTCATGAAGATAAGCAATGGAAAAATCTATTAATTAGGCTCCTATTTATAATTCTTTTGAATAAAATAATTATTAGTTAAATGGTAATAACATGAAAATGTTGGTAGCTGATATTTTGTAAACTGTAGAAAGCAACTTAATATCAAAGTAAACTTAATATAACTTGTTAAAAGGTTTACCACAAACCCATACACACAATGTAATGATTTTTCCAGAGTTACTGAAAAATGTACTTGATAATGTAAGGTACAAATTAGAGCAACTACCTTTGCTGATTCTTCATCCTTTAAAATTAAGTAAAAAATGACCTACAAATGTTAAATCACTCTTTTCCACATTATCAGTTTTAAAAATAAGGCGATAGCTTTATAAATGCATTCATTTCATCAGAGCATTTAAATTGATTTTTAAAAAAATATAATTATTAGAACTGTTTTTACCTCACTGAGAAATGTGCAGTTTTCCGTACCTAATACGAACTGTGTTAGTTGATTCCAGTCAATTATAGAAAATGACAGAAGTCTCCATCTAGGATATTCTGCTTTTAAAAATGCAACTTCTCACAGTATTCAGCTGTTAAGTTCTCTTATGAACATGAGCTGCTATGCAGTTGTTTTAAAGAACAGACCTTTTCTAGAGATTTTGTTCATTAAAAAAAAAAATCTGGAGAAAAAAATAACACCTACAATATAAATCATGTCCTCAATTTTACATCACATATAAAGGCTAATTGTATCATTTGAGAAGAACCACTTTGGTCCTCTCAATTTTTGTTTTGTTTTTGATAATACATATGGATGAAAGCATGTATGCTTTAATGGAAAGATGATTTAACTAGGAGTTAGAAAATTATTGCTTTTGGCCTTAACCGTAGACACGTCACCAAATGTCTCAGATATTCAATATCCCCTCATTTATAATATAAAATTAGGGAAAAAAATTAGATGATTCTTAAAATCTCTTTGAAGTATATAAAGTCTTCTTGTCATTAATTTTGTGTTGGTATTTTCACGTAAAGACTGTTCTTTATACTGATTTACAATACATTGTCTCTGTTTATATCTCAGACTTCTCAGTAATTTCACAGCACAGTTGCCTCATCATCCACAGGTATGTTTAGATGTATTCTGTAAGCACAGCTTAAAGCAAACTGGGTAAAAAACGGTCATTTCTGGTTCATTCACAGTATAGCTTCTGAGGAATCCCATCACGTATGTTTTCTCCTGACTCTATCTAGTTGAATGGCCCTCAATGGAGACAGTACAGCTTTGAAAATCATAACCTAGCTGTTAGCTAATCATTTAAGGTTTTTTTTTTTATTATCATTAGTAATGAATGACAATAGTATAGCAAAACAAATAAAAATACTAAGTTTCGTCTGATATCACTTCAAGTTAGGTTAGAAACTAAGATCCTCAGAACTAAGAAATGAAGGTTTTATTATTCTAATAATTGTAACAGCAAGGATAATAGCTAATAAACCATACCAAGTACTAATAATAGCCACCATTTATTAAGCACTCATTTTGTGTAAGACACTTTTGTGTAAGTTTTACATGTAATATCTCATTTAAGTCTAATAATCCTACAAGGTAGGTATATTTTTATTACAGCCATTTTATAGATAAGGTGACTGAGGTTTAAGAGAGGTCAAGAACTTGCCTAAGTTTTCATATACAGTATATGTAAATGCTGGGATTTGAAATTAGGTCTCCTTGATTTCAGATCTTGAGGTCTCTTATTCAATATATTGTACTACTATGTTATTCACTGGATATATTTGACTGGATGCTTCCATACACATTATCCCATTGTATCTTCTTAACCATATAAAATAGGTATTATCATGTAATCTTCCAAATGAAGAAACTTTTGGGGTTTTGAGAAACTAACTAACTTGCTTAAGACTATATAACTAGTAATGGGTAGAATTTGGACTGAAACCTGGGTGTGATGAGCTCTAAGGTACATACATACCTTTTCCACCATATAATGACAACTTACCGAAAGACAGGAAGGAAATCAAGTGAAACATTTTGTAAAAGCTTTATCTGACAATCACACAATTAAATGTTGACCATTTAAGTAATTAAAGTCAACATTTATGACTAAAATATTTGAACATAACAATACTGGATATTATGCCCAGGTTTATATAATGAAGGTAGTCTGCCTGTATTAGAATCACAAATTTAAAGAGGCAAGAAATTTATATATTTTCTAGGTGAGTGGTTTCAACACTTTTTTGTTTAAGTAGAATCTTCTCTGGTCAAAGTCATCAATAGATTTCCACATTTCAAATCCTATGGTCTTATCCTAGTCTTACCTGACTTGATCTATTTGAAGAATCTGCTTCATGTGACTACTCTCTCCTTTCCTGTAATATTTTCTTTACTTGCCTTCTAAGATGCTGCTCTGGACTCCTGCTTCACTGGCTCCTCTTCCTCAGGCCACTTGGCTGCTCTCTCAGCATCCTAACTAGATTCTGCAGTAACTCAGAGCTGCACAGACTCCAGCCTCTTCTCTGTATTCAGCTTTCCTAGGTGTTCTCATCCAGTTATCATTTCTATCCTGATGACTCCTACATTTCTATCTCCAGCGCAGTCCTTTAGACTTGTACGTATATTGGGTCTGATATACAAGGGGGTGCCAAAAAATGTATACACATGACTTGTATTCCTCTTTTGTTATCAGTATATATTGAGTAGTACAATTGTAATAGTTTTCTTGTATACATTTTTTTAGCACCTTCTGTATATCCACCTCCACTTGGTAATCTAATAGTCTTCATTAATAGACTCTACTTGGAAGTCTAAAACTTGAAATGGCCAAAACAAACTTTTGATTTGTCTCCCTTTCTATCTTAGAAACAGCAACTTATTTTTTCCAGTTATTTAGGCCAAAACCTTGAAATCATTCTTGTCTCTACTCTTCTCCCTCCCTCTCTTCCCATACCACTAATCATTGAGAAAATACTGTTAACTCTACTTTCAAAATCCATTCCAAATTTAACCACTTGCTACCACTTCCAGGAAGCACCAGCAAAGGAGGCTGACCATAAGGCCAGACTTGCTGCCTGGTCCACACCTACATTATTGCAGTAGACTCTTCTCTGTTCTTCCTGCCTCTACCCTATGGTCTAATTATCAGATTAATCCTGTTAAAACTAATCAGATTCTATCATTACCCTTCCAGAACACTTGAATTCTCTCTCAAATGTGTGAGAAAAATATAATATCTTTCAATCTATTAAGTGTTTCCAGTCCCAATATCGTGAACATACATATCTCCACATAATTTAAAAATATATAGCTAGGTTAAAAACAATCCACACTTAGTCCTTAAAGACATCATTTCACTACAACAAATCGATAACACTCGTGGCTTATTTCTTGTACATATGAGGAAATACAAAGTAAAAACTTGTAGACATTTCTGATCTGCTACTTGCTAGGTTGTGTTATCATGAACAAGAATTACTTAACCTCAATCATCTCATCTTTAATAGGAAAATATTCCTTAAAATACTGTCCTAAAAGTCAAATAAGACAGTCATTTTAAGTACTCAGAACAATACCTGTTTTTCTCTATTGTAAGTAATCAAAAATAATCAAGGATAACCATTTAAAAGTCTCTATTCTAAACAGTTTGTATTTTCTAAACATTAGATGAACATGTTTAAATACCATTCATGAATCCATTTTATTTTCACAGGTGAATTTAGTGTGTTGAACTGATATTGGGTTGTCAGAAAAGTCATAACGCATTTTTGCAACGAAAAACAGAAAAAAATACATCATGACTTTTCCGAGAATCTAATATAAAGATCATATTCAGGAACCTATACTAACAACATTTGATTTTTCTCCATCTTCTTCAGTTATCAGAATCACTTTAAGATCAGAAACACAAAAACACTTCAGGATTTAATAAACTCAAATTCATTTGATAAATTTTTATTGAGCAGTTATGTACCAGACACTGATTTAGGCAATGGGGATCCAGTGTAACAAAAACAAAAAATTATGTTTTCATGAGTTTATACACTCAAACTGTGAGAACACATTTTGTCTACCAAAGTGTAACAGCTTAGTGGAACATACTAAAAGCCATACAAGCAAATACAAGAATAAATGTACAAATAAGCATTGACTTTAGCAAGTTATCTTTCATTTAAGGGGCTACCTAAAGCAATGATATAATCTAAGACTGAACTAAGGTCCACAAATTGAAGCTGTTCTTAAAAATTTGTACTAAATGATTCATGCACTTTCAAAATCCTTTATACAAGTAATAAATAATGAATTTATTTACAGCTTTGGCATGACATTGGTATATATTCTTTCCCTCTCTAATTTTTACTAATTCTGATAAGGAAGGTATTAGTAACTAATTTAATCCTAAATATATATTTAACTTGTATATATAATCGGAATGCATTTGCAGATCAGATGACTGATCTGCTTGTATATATACTTGGAATGCATTTGCAGATTAGATGCAGATCTGCTTGTCCTTTGATATTAGATATATCTCTATTTTTTCCATGTAGACAAATTGTTTAGCAAACCATTAATATAAATGCTCTTCACTTGTCCAGTCCATTGAACATTTCATAGAGTATATGAACCAAGATCAAATAAAAAGAATGGTTCATAAATATTACCTTATCAGAGAGTTCATTACCATGATGTACTTAAAAGCCAAATTTTATTTAGAAGAAAAACTAGATGATTTGAAGTTTGCATATCATAATATAAATAATATATGTGAATAATACTTTTATTTCAAGTAACATACTTGAAAATAAAATTCAGTATAGTATTTTTTTTAATACAACGGCTCTAATACTTCTTACATAACAGTATCAGAAAAGGAAAGGGAAATTAAGCTAAATATATTTAGCTTAATAAAT